CTTCTACTCAGTTATCATTGATATTGTTTTCGAAAAAAATGCAAATTGCAGTACTCATAGGACACAAGCAGAATCAAACTTGCTCTGTTTTCCCGGAGTCCCTGCCTTGTAATTAACTGTAAACTAATATGAACCACCCTTGATAACTGTTCTGTTTGGCATTCTTTTCAACCCCTCAATTTGTCAATTTGGGAAGTTACTAATTAATTAGAATGGCCTTGTTCCAGCTCTAGTTATACTTGGAGGCATGAAAGGTAATGAATAAAATCTCAACTTACAGTATAATAAAATAAGTTCATACAAATTGATATATTAAAGAGTCATGTACACCTTTTAAAAAAAAAGTCAAGTACATATCATCAACATGCACCTTTTTCATGCAGAATTTTCTTACAAGAAACATGGTCACATATAACAACAAAGATAATTAAAATAATTTTAGTATAGCGCACTTTATATACATCATGTGCATATAAGGATCCATTCATACTAGAAGCGTTGCCATGTGTGATGAATACATGCCAGCGAATATCATTTGTAGAATGGATTTAAAAATTACAACAGACCCTACTTTTTTCAGCTCAACACGTGTAAACACACCACAATGTGTCAAAACAGTATGTTAAAGCTCCTTTAAAATAAAAGCTTACAGAAATAAAAAAAAAGGCAGCAAATTTTAAAATGCAGCAGATCAATACATGTGAGTTTACTTGTGCTCAGTGCAAACTTTGAGGTGTGAAAGGACCCTTAAAGCTTCAGACATGGAAATCTTCCCCAGTGCTACAGCCTGTCAAGTCAAGCAGTATTTGTTTATGAAACTACCGTCTGCCCCTACATACACTGTACAATGAATCCATTGCACATGTGTAAAGTGCAATGGCCATGTACAAAGTATAGAAATCCCTTGTACTTCATCATGTCTCAGTTTACTGTAGTCATATCAGTTGTGGTTGAATGCTATAGATTACTGACCAGGATTTTCAGGGATTTGTTGAGGCACAAAATAGCCATGTCCACCACCAGAACTTTCCACTTTTTTGGAAAGCCTCCTCAACAGAGTACTGTTAAACAAACCATTAAAGAGGGTCAGATACTTGGTCATGGCCACAGCTCATACAACGTATACTAACGGGTGGACTGGAAGAGCCTTAGCAGGTTTCTTGAACTTGAGAGATGGTACTGGTAACCTTCGGTCCACTAGGCGAAAGAAGCTCCAACTTCAAACAAATATATACTATGTCCTCCAAAGCCATACCAATTTCCTTAAGTATGGGAGAGATCAGGGTTCACTGACCATTCTCCTGGGAGGAGTCCTCCAACTCTGATAATTCAGGTTTCCCCTCATTTTCTTCTTCCCTCTCCTCTTCCCCGTCATCAGAGCCTGAACCTGCCTGAACTATCCTGCCAAGAAGCTGCAACTGCATCCCCCGCCCCGCAGCTGAATCTCACCCCGCAGCTGAACGTATACATGTCCTTTGTATACATGGGGCTGCAGGGTGGGGAATGTTCTACCACTTATGATTGTCTCTAAACAGTGACAGCTTCTTGGCAGGATAGATCAGTCTTGAGCTCATCCCTACTCATCATCATTTGGAAGCACCATTTCCATTATGGTAGAGTCTGAAAGAGATTTAGTTCAGGACACCCACTGTGGACGTTCAAGCTGTTTGCATTAGGTAGTTTCTGCCAGTGTAGAGACCTTCCCCATCAGCTTCACAATGGAAGTTGAAAATGTCTTTCTAGTTAAAAAGGTGGGATAGGGGTACCTGAGGGGTTAGGAACAGACTCTGAGGAATGAAAGACTGAGGTCCAAAGTGTCTGAAGCCAAGGTACCAAGGGAACCCTGAGTCACTCTTTCATTCTCCTCTAAACATTGTGTGCTGGGCCCTGTGCTGGCCCCCTAGTACCAATGCCTTTTTGTCTGACTTGATCCATGTGCGTAAAGGTATCCCATGATGGGTACTCATGACCTATGCTGCAGAGAAGAAGGGATGTGTAAGTTAAATGTCACGTGTGTCTCACAACTGAAGGCCGCTGCTTAATCTGGTGAAGGCTTGCACAGGACCTGGGAACTGGAAGTGGAGCAGAAAGTTTGTCCTGAACAGTCTGCTGGAAGCGTGTGCCCAAAATGGCTCCTGCAGCTGAAGGAAATCCAGCCAACTCCAGGGACATGACCTGGTACACGGCACAGTCTACAGCCTGCCCAAGTCTCTCCATGTGTCACAGCACCATACGGTTACTGCAACAAAATGTCCCAGTAAATGGGGAAAAAAGGTACATTGCTCTGGGTCTAGGGTTTCACACCACCCACTCCTCTGTAGACCAATGCAGGGGCCCAGGATCCAGGCACAACCCAAGTATGGGGAGAACCCTCATGTGAAGAAATGGTGCTCAGCCCTAGACTCACTGCTCCATGACTCTGGGCATTCCTCCCCAAGGGGAGATATATTAACTTTATATATCTACAGTATATTAATTGATGCAAAGTCCACTGCACACAGCAACATTACTTACAAAACATTACAATATAATAACCACAGTGTCTGTGATTAAAGGAGCCTGTGTCCTGTGAGCCTAGTTCACACTGGCTTTGAAAGCAGGCATTTGAGGGGCGATTTTAACGCTCCTCAAATGCCTATGCAAATGATACTATGGGCAGCATACAGTGCTGTTCACAATATCAAAATATGAAGCACTAGCGTTGCTTCACAGCTGAAGCCTCAAGTGCAGTCAAGAAGAGTTTGAAGACTTTCAGCGCCTCCCATTCAAGTCTATGGTGACGCTCCTCAAACGCCCTTGGCAAGTGTTTGCAAGGCATTAGCGGTGCGGTTAATAACATTACAATTTATTTAGTTTGTGGTGTGGTTTTAACGCTTGTCAAATGCTTCTAAAATGCTTCAAAACTACACATAGGGTATTTGGGGAGCGTTTTTAATGCTTGTAAAAAGCCGGTTTAAAGCTCATTAACACCTGTCTAACCTCTATACTAAAGATCATTAACGCCTGTCTAACGCCCATACTAAAGCTCATTAACACCTGTCTAATGCCCATACTAAAGCCTCATTAACACCTGTCTAATGCCCATACTAAAGCTCATTAATGCCTGTCTAATGCCAGTACTAAAGCTCATTAACGCCTGTCTAATGCCCGTACTAAAGCTCATTAACGCCTGTCTAATGCCCGTAATAATGCTCATTAACGCCTGTCTAATGCCCATACTAAGCCTCATTAACGCCTGTCTAATGCCCATACTAAACCTCATTAACGCCTGTCTAATGCCCATACTAAAGCTCATTAACGCCTGTCTAATGCCCATATTAATGCTCATTAACGCCTGTCTAATGCCCATACTAAGCCTCATTAACGCCTGTCTAATGCCCATACTAAAGCTCATTAACACCTGTCTAATGCCTATACTAACGCTCATTAACGCCTGTCTAATGCCCATACTAAACCTAATTAACGCCTGTCGAATGCCCATACTAAGCCTCATTAACGCCTGTCTAATGCCCATACTAAACCTCATTAACGCCTGTCTAATGCCCATACTAAAGCTCATTAACGCCTGTCTAATGCCCATACTAATGCTCATTAACGCCTGTCTAATGCCCATACTAAGCCTCATTAACGCCTGTCTAATGCCCATACTAAAGCTCATTAACACCTGTCTAATGCCTATACTAACGCTCATTAACGCCTGTCTAATGCCCATACTAAACCTAATTAACGCCTGTCGAATGCCCATACTAAAGCTCATTAACGCCCGTCTAATGCCCATACTAACGCTCATTATCGCCTGTCTATCGCCCATACTAAACCTCATTAACGCCTGTCTAATGCCCATACTAAAGCTCATTAACGCCTGTCTAATGCCTATACTAATGCTCATTAACGCCTGTCTAATGCCCATACTAAAGCTCATTAACACCTGTCTGATGCCTATACTAACGCTCATTAACGCCTGTCTAATGCCCATACTAAAGCTCATTAACGCCTGTCTAATGCCCATACTAAACCTAATTAACGCCTGTCGAATGCCCATACTAAAGCTCATTAACGCCCGTCTAATGCCCATACTAACGCTCATTATCGCCTGTCTAACGCCCATACTAAACCTCATTAACGCCTGTCTAATGCCCATACTAAAGCTCATTAACGCCTGTCTAATGCCTATACTAATGCTCATTAACGCCTGTCTAATGCCCATACTAAACCTCATTAACGCCTGTCTAATACCCATACTAAACCTCATTAACGCCTGTCTAATGCCCATACTAAACCTCATTAACGCCTGTCTAAATGCCCATACTAACGCTCATTAACGCCTGTCTAACGCCCATACTAATCCTCATTAACGCCTGTCTAATGCACGTACTAAAGCTCATTAACGCCTGTCTAATGCCCGTACTAAACCTCATTAACGCCTGTCTAATGCCCGTAATAACGCTCATTAATGCCTGTCTAATGCCCATACTAAACCTCATTAACGCCTGTCTAATGCCCGTACTAAAGCTCATTAACGCCTGTCTAACGCCCATACTAAAGCTCATTAACGCCTGTCTAACGCCCATACTAAAGCTCATTAACGCCTGTCTAACGCCCGTACTAACGCTCATTAACGCCTGTCTAACGCCCATACTACTAATGCTCATTAGTTCCTGTCTAATGCCCATACTAAAGCTCATTAACGCCTGTCTAATGCCCATACTAAACCTCATTAACGCCTGTCTAATGCCCATACTAAACCTCATTAACGCCTGTCTAATGCCCATACTAAACCTCATTAACGCCTGTCTAATGCCCGTACTAACGCTCATTAACGCCTGTCTAATGCCCATACTAAACCTCATTAAACGCCTGTCTAATGCCCATACTAAACCTCATTAACGCCTGTCTAATGCCCATACTAAAGCTCATTAACGCCTGTCTAATGCCTATACTAAACGCTCAGTAACGCCTGTCTAATGCTCATACTAAACCTCATTAACGCCTGTCTAATGCCCATACTAAAGCTCATTAACGCCTGTCTAACGCCCATACTAAAGCTCATTAACGCCTGTCTAAACGCCCATACTAAAGCTCATTAACGCCTGTCTAACGCCCATACTAAAGCTCATTAACGCCTGTCTAACGCCCATACTAAAGCTCATTAACGCCTGTCTAACGCCCATACTAACGCTCATTAACGCCTGTCTAACGCCCATACTAATGCTCATTAGTTCCTGTCTAATGCCCATACTAAAGCTCATTAACGCCTGTCTAATGCCCATACTAAACCTCATTAACGCCTGTCTAATGCCCATACTAAAGCTCATTAACGCCATTCTAATGCTCATACTAAAGCTCATTAACGCTTGTCTAATGCCCATACTAAACCTCATTAACGCCTGTCTAATGCCCATACTAAAGCTCATTAACGCCTGTCTAACGCCCATACTAAACCTCATTAACGCCTGTCTAACGCCCATACTAAAGCTCATTAACACCTGTCTAACGCCCATACTAAAGCTCATTAACGCCTGTCTAACGCCCATACTAAACCTCATTAACGCCTGTCTAACGCCCATACTAAAGCTCATTAACGCCTGTCTAACGCCCATACTAAAGCTCATTAACGCCTGTCTAACGCCCATACTAAAGCTCATTAACGCCTGTCTAACTCCCATACTAACGCTCATTAACGCCTGTCTAACGCCCATACTAATGCTCATTAGTTCCTGTCTAACGCCCATACTAAAGCTCATTAACGCCTGTCTAACGCCCATACTAACGCTCATTAACGCCTGTCTAACGCCCATACTAATGCTCATTAGTTCCTGTCTAACGCCCATACTAAAGCTCATTAACGCCTGTCTAACGCCCATACTAAACCTCATTAACACCTGTCTAATGCCCATACTAAACCTCATTAACATTTGTCTAATGCCCATACTAAACCTCATTAACGCCTGTCTAATGCCCATACTAACGCTCATTAGCACCTGTCTAACGCCCATACTAAACCTCATTAACGCCTGTCTAATGCCCGTACTAAAGCTCATTAACGCCTGTCTAATGCCCATACTAACGCTCATTAGCTCCTGTCTAATGCCCATACTAAAGCTAACCCTTTGGTTAGAGGTAGAAATTTAGTCAAGTGTGAACAAGCAAGAAAAAATTAAGATGAAGACATCTGTTTGTAGGCAACTATACAATATAAAAGGCGCTACACATACACATGCAATGCATGTGTAGAATAGAATACTGCAGAAACCAGAGAATAGGACATTTTACTCTCTAATAATCTCTAGCTACTTGCCACCAGTTAATTTTCTTTTTGTTTTCTTAGCTGTGAACAGATGCCAAAGGTGTACTTACAGCCACAGAACATATGTAAGAATCTCGATACCTAGCAGCACGGAGGGCACAGAGCTATATACAGTGGGGATCAAAAGTTTGGGCACCCCAGCTAAAAATTTGTATTAATGTGCATAAAGAAGCCAAGGAAAGATGGAAAAATCTCCAAAAGGCATCAAATTACAGATTAGACATTCTTATAATATGTCAACAAAAGTTAGATTTTATTTCCATCATTTACACTTTCAAAATAACAGAAAACAAAAAAATGGCGTCTGCAAAAGTTTGGGCACCCTGCACAGTTAATATCTTGTACTGCCCCCTTTGGCAAGTATCACAGCTTGTAAACGCTTTTTGTAGCCAGCCAAGAGTCTTTCAATTCCTGTTTGAGGTATCTTTGCCCATTCTTCCTTACAAAAGTCTTCCAGTTCTTTGAGATTTCTGGGCTGTCTGTCACGCACTGCTCTTTTAAGGTCTATCCATAGATTTTCAATTATGTTGAGGTCAGGAGATTGTGAAGGCCATGGCAAAACCTTCAGTTTACGCCTCTTGATGTAATCCCCCGTGGATTTCGAAGTGTGTTTAGGATCATTATCCATTTGTAGAAGCCATCCTCTCTTTAACTTCAGCTTTTTCACAGATGGCATCAAGTTACCATCCAAAATTTGCTGAAATTTTATTGAATCCATTTTTCCTTCTACTCGTGAGATGTTCCCTGTGCCACTGGCTGCAACACAACCCCAAAGCATGATTGATCCAACCCCATGCATAACAGTTGGACAGAGGTTCTTTTCATTAAATTATGTGCCCCTTCTTCTCCAAACGTACCTTTGCTCATTCCGGCCAAAAAGTTAAATTTTAACATCATCGGTCCACAGAACTTGTTTCCAAAATGCATCAGGCTTGTCTATATGTTCATTTGCAAAGTTCAGACGATGATTTTTGTGGTGAGGACGTAGAAGAGGTTTTCTTCTGATGACTCTTCCATGAAGACCATATTTGTACAAGTATCTCGTTATAGTGGAATAGTGTACCACAACTCCAGTGTCTGCCAGATCTTTCTGGAGGGATCGTGCAGTCAAACGTGGGTTTTGAATTGTTTTTCTCACAATCCTGCGAGCTGTTCTGTCTGATATTTTTCTTGGTCTTCCAGATCTTGCTTTAACTTCCACTGTTCCTGATGACTGCCATTTCTTAATTACATTCCGAACAGAGGATATTGACATCTGAAAACGCTTTGCTATCTTTTTATAGCCTTCTCCAGCTTTGTGAGCGTCAACTATTTTCATTTTCAGTTTTCTAGACAACTGCTTAGAAGAACCCATGGTGCTGATTGTTGGGGCAAGGTCAGATGAGTCTGGGCATTTAAAACCTTTGAGATTGACATCACCTGGTCTTCTCAGACGATGATTGAGAACAATCCATGACACTGGCAGGTCTCAGCTTGGCAAAGTGGGCAGTGCATGCTATAAATTCTGCAGGGTGCCCAAACTTTTGCAGACGCCATTTTTTTGTTTTCTGTTATTTTGAAAGTGTAAATGATGGAAATAAAATCTAACTTTTGTTGACATATTATAAAATGTCTAATCTGTAATTTGATGCCTTTTGGAGATTTTTCCATCTTTCCTTGGCTTCTTTATGCACTTTAATACAAATTTTTAGCTGGGGTGCCCAAACTTTCGATCCCCACTGTAGCTGCATACTGATTAACAGAGGTGGTGGTAGTAGTAAATGTCATTAGAGAAATTAAACAGATTTTAGTTTGGGCACACTGACATATTTAATAGGCTCACATCAAGATAACAGGCAAAGACCCTACAATGATATTATTGTGGAATTCTGACACATCTAGATGCAGCCCTGACTATATGTTTTTGTATTCTCTTATTCTGGAGTATCTTCAACCGTGGATGTGTAAGGACTGTAGGTTACATAGTTAGTCCCTCCAGTTCAACCATTAATAAAAAGGTAAATATACAAAATTCAATAATAAATATGTAAAGCTAAATTTTATCTACATGTAGCTGCATTTGTGTGACAGTTTAGAAGATAAATTATTGTTCCATAATTGTTTACATCTGTAGAAAGAGAATAAGTTCTCTCAGTCTAGGTTTACACCTATGCAGGTTGCGTTTGAGGCGTTTCTGCATTGCGTTTTGCAATTTTGCACTTGTGTTTTTGCTGTGTTTTGCACTGGGGTTTTTTTAATTTCTTTAAAATTTTTCTTGTTGCTAGGCAGATTTTAAATGCAAAATGCATAAAAAATGTGGCAAAACCGCATAAAAAAATTAAATACATGCTTTTCTGCAGCGTTCCCATTGACGTCTATAGAACCAAAAACACAATGTTTTACATTCAAAAAAGTCCCTGACCCTTTCAAAAAAACGCACCGGGTGAAAGCGCGGAAATTTGAACCTGTCCCATAGGATATCATGTTAAATGGAGCAGGGGCGGACTGACCATTCGAGCACTCGGGCACTGCCCGAGGGTCCGGGGTCAGTAGGGGGCCCATGAGATGCCCTTGGTACCTTTCATTGGCTTTTTCATAGGCTTTTTTGGGTGTGGGGGAGAACACGGGGGCCCCATGATCCCCTATTGCCCGGGGGCCCCATGAGTTGTCAGTCCACCCCTAAAATGGACTGTACTGCGTTCTTGTAAAACGCGGCAGAAAACGCTTAGGTGTGAACCTACGGTCAGACAATGATCTGCTACTATATGTTGTAAATAATGGTGTATGTGGGCGGTGGCTTACTGCGCCCGAGTAGGGAAACACTCACTAGTGCCCCAAAAAGCGAGCTGAGGCTGCCATACAATTCGAGGCTGGTGTTTAACTAAAAAGCCATATTTCTCCACAAGTATACATAATTAAAGTATAACTAAAAGCAAAACTTGTTTTTTTTTTTTTTTTTTTTTTAGATTTGGACAGAGTGGAGATGGGTAGAACACCTATTAGGTTTTCATTTCTGTTTGTGCCCCAGTTAAGGAGATTCACTCTCACTATTTGTCCTGTTTACCATTATCATTGAAAGTGAAAGTAAAAGAAAACTCCAAATTTGAGGATGTCCCCAGAAAAGTAATACATGGTAAATTTTCCAATGGAGACACTAATTCTAGTGACCACGGGGTCCCCAGAAATTCCTTTAATAATTTGTAGGGATTTCCCTCACTTCCTGTTTTGGCCATGGGACAGGAAGTAAAAGTTTCCCAAATGGTTAACAGAGGCACAAAATAAACCAACATAGGTTAAAACCCTCCTGTACAAAATTAAAAAAAAAAAAAGTTTTGCCTATAGTTTTACTTTAACCCTTTGTTATCTGTGGCCCAACTTCTGTACGCTTTACATTGTTCACTCCAAATACCAGTTCCTCGTTATACTCTATAAATTACAGATAACAGTTCTTTAATACAATTTATAACTCTTCTCCTGAAGCTTCACTCCATCTCTTGAGACTCCCAAGCTTCCCCCCCGCTGAGTGCCCACCATTGCAAGCCACTTACCACGGGGGCACTCATGCGTGCTCACTCCCAAGCCAGCTCTGGGTCCATAGAGCTGGGTTCAGCCCTGCTTCCCAATCCCTCCTCACTGGCTGTGACTGGCAGCATCAGGAGCTGCTGTCTCTGTGCCAATGAGGAGGGAGAGAGCCAAGAGAGCCTCTGCTCACATGCACATCACTGAATCAAGATCGGACTCAGGTAAGTATTTTGGGGGGGCTGGGGGAGCTGAATGCAGAAGGTTTTTTACCTAAAAAAAACGCCATTAGAACCACCTGAATTCAAACCCACAACAGACAAAAACATACTGTATAAAAAAAATACACAATGCAATAAACCCCTTGGAACTATCTGCTTACATACAGTGCCTTCAAAAAGTATTTACACCCCTTGAAATTTTCCACATTTTGTCATGTTACAACCAAAAATGTCTTCATGATGCTGTTTGTTCACTAATGTTCTCTACCATTAGTGAGCTTCACAGAACAAATGTGTTTATACTGAGATGAAATTACACACATGTGGACTCTATTTACTAATTAGGTGACTTCTGAAGGCAATTGGTTCCACTAGATTTTAGTTAGGAGTATCAGAGTAAAGGGGGCTGAATACAAATGCATGCCACATTTTTCACATATTTATTTGTAAAAAATCTTGAAAACCATTTATCATTTTCCTTCCACTTCACAATTATATGCCTCTTTGTGTTGGTCTATCACATAAAATCCCAATAAAATACATTTACGTATTTTACAGGCACCATTTAAAAGCATAGGATTTTTGTTGTTGAGCATTTTGGAGCTTTGATCTTAAGCCTGGGTTCAATTATATGCGGTGCGGTATGTCGCATGTGATTCGCACAGGAACCGCACCGCATTCCTGTGCAAATCACATGAGATTTGTGTGCAGTGCGATTGGAGCCATACATTTTATGTATGTATTTTATGCTCTATTCGCACCAAATCGGCAGCAAAAAGGTGCAGGACCCTTTTATTGGTCCGCATTAG